ATCGATAATGAAGTATTAACCTGCCTCTCCTGGTTTGAACTCCATCTCTGTTCCCGCTCTAGTATCTCTGTTCTATTTCCAGGCTTACCTAGCAAAGCCTCCGTTACTCTTACTGAAACAAGGACTCATAATGGAGTTCCTATTCTGAATTCTTAGTTTCCTTCTGCAAATCTCTCTGCTCTGTGTTCTACTTTGCAGACCCCAGCTGCTTCACCAGTTCTGAATGCCAAGTTCTGTCTCCTTAGCTCAGTGAGACTCTGCTGGGATTCCACTTCCCTGCTGTACTGTCAGAACACTGTGCCCAGATAGAGATCCAGGGTTTGCCTTAACATGTTCTCTTCTCTCAAGGATCAGGAAGTCTGGTCCTTCCTGATGGCCAATGTGTGGAACAGCTGTTTCATACATTCTCTCCGGTTTAATAATTGATTATAACAGAAGAGCTGGTCTCATACCAGCTACTATGTCATAGCCAAAATTGGAAGTTTCAAGATTGTTTAAGTTCTTAATTTAAAAATATAAATGGATACATTCATTGTCATGGGCAAGATAGCAGCCATGTTTATGTTTTCATAATACAAATACAGGTTAATTATTTTGAAAGTTCGCTTTATTTTATGGAAATACGACTCAATTTAATTATCAGATCATTTTCTATTGAGAAAAAAGACAAAATGTTTACACATAAGAGTAACCTGCTGATGCCTTTGGAATATGTCAGCTGGGATCACCTAGAAAATATAAATGGATTAGTCATATTTTTAATAATGTATGAGGTGCACAAGGGAAAAAAAAACACTTGTCAAAACTGTATGTTACAGTACCCTATCTATATATAAATGCATATGTTTATAAAAGTGTATTTTCCCTGTTGTGCTAATCTTTTTTACTTGGCATATTTTTAATGGTTTTTCCAAATGACCTTTGTAAAATTAATCAAGGATCTGACACTATCCTTTGGAGAAATACAAAGAAATAATGCTGCTTATAATAACTTTTGCATGAGAAACAGCCAAAAAATGACAAAACAGAGAAAACATTAATACTAAAAAAATGAAAGCTTGAAAGTGGAATTAATTGAAAAATGTTGCCTTTTGTCTAATATTTTCGTGTGTCTCTGAAATTCCATTTTCCTTTTATTTTCTACACCATTGTCTTAATTACTTGGGATCAGATAGATTTCTCAAAACAACTTACTAAGTAAAATACACCACAATTTTTCAGGAGCTCTAACAGTGAGAAGCATCCCAAAGTAAACATTAATAAAATATATAGAAAATATGTGTAACAAATACAAATGCAAAGAAACTAGAAAAATGTCTGCAATTAGACCGGATGGAAATCTAAAAAGAAATTAAATTTAGTTGTAATACATTTTCTATTCTTTTCTTTGAGAAAATTACTACTGAAGTGAGGAATTTTTTTCCCCCTGTAATTTAAATGGTAAGCTGCCAGATGTGTGTCTCATGCTTGAAGAGTCGAAGCTTTGCATTATTTAGCATATTAAGAATCACAGAATTTTAAAAAGGGCTCCTTTATTGCCTCGAGGTTCTAATTAAGTAAACCTTAGCCTGGTACATTTAAAACTTGCAATACAAGAGATTTTTGCCTTTTTCCCCCCATAGCCAAGTCACATCTATGTAACAAATATAGAAAATCTTTAAGATGATATAATTTTTCTTTTGCTTGAAGAATTAAAGCTATCTATTATTTTAAGAAGTTTTTAATAGAGGCCAGCAATCTAGAAGACAACTAAGGATTCGAAATACTTTTTAATCATTGCAAGTTGCTTTCCGTATTTATACCGAAGCATGTGTGTTTCATAAAGGCAGGTCTATACTATCAATCTTACCCTCTCTCTCCCTCACTTCCTCTGCTTCTGCTGTGGTCTGAATCATTTTCTTGTTAGACAAAGGGGATTCAAAGAAGCAACAAGATCATAGGTTTTGGATCGATACCATGTTTTTATGTGTTTCTGTGTGTGTGTCTGTCTGTGTTAAATATCTGATCGCAGGATATTAATTAGTTGCTCTTTCAGCAGTTTGTAGAAAGAGTCCCAGAAGCTTACGTGAAAACCATAATCAGATGGAAGTTCTGTAGGCACACGACATTCATAAATCATACCCTTAAATACAGTTATTTTTGCCATTTTAGAAAATGTCAAAGGTGTCAACTCTGTCCAAATATACCGCTTAACAGTGACTATTTTAGTAAATTGACTTGAAATGCATTCAGCTAACTGACAGTTAAAAGCACATAATCTAGTTCAGAGTACAAATGAACAGTTTAAAGGCCAAACTAAGCACCAAAGTATGAATTCTCAATGACACTGTTGCAGTGACCCTGACTGAAACCAGAAACCATAATCTTAGCGTTGTTTATCCACATCAGAAATAGATGCCCCTAATTTTTGAAACGTGATTTTTTAATATCTAGGCTCTAGTTAAAAAAAAAAAAAAGAAATGTTTCAAGCACTCTTAAAGTGAGAGTCCAATACCTTTTTGAGGATACAATGAACAAACCAGAAATTACAGAAATTCAGATAATGAGTTGATAACCTTCTCTGTCAGCAGCATGATTTAAACTTATAAGCAGTAACTTCCTGGATGCTACAAACATGAACAGACAAGTGTTTGTCCTAATGTCAAGAAACAAAGAATTCTCTTACCTTTTCTTCACAGAAAGAACTAATGAACAAATGGATCTTTACATTTGAGAGTAGACAAAGGGCAGGTATCATAAAATTGGAGCTTAGGTTTGCCAGGATTATTCCCTCCAAAGTCTAAAGTGCTTGGTAACAGGTGAGATGTACCTGATATGTTATGAATTGGTTTCTTAGAAGTTTAAGAAGTTTAATGGTCTCATACTTGGGGATGTTTTGATATCATTGGCAGCAGAAATTCAACCAAACCATCCTTACTTTCACTTCTCTCCAAACCATTAAACTGCGATCAGTCCACAGGGAACCACATGACATTTGAGCCATCCTTGTGAAGCTCTCCAGTTAGCTGATTGGTAATAACACGTTACACTGTATCCAGTATTTTTCAGTTTATAAAAACAGATTTGCATTTGCTACTTATTTAATTCAAGCTATTTGACTAACTTTATTGCTGGCACAGAACTGCGAATATTTCTGCCACAGTACCCATCCGGCAGAAACCTCTGAGTACTTTGCCCTTGCAAGATAAAAATAGATTGGTGCATGTATGCCTTGCCTAATAAAATATTATTGTAATGTAAGAGCAGGAAGCCATTTGGTTATTCCTTCTAAGAATAATTTTTCAGCATCACCCATTTCCACCATGCTTAAGATTTTACCCTTTTATGAAAGCTTTTTTCATGAAAGCATCTCTTTTTCATTATTCTTAAAAATATTAAACTCTCCATCTTAAGCACAGTGAAAGAACTCAGACATCTTAATATGTTTCTCATGAGTGTTCTTTGGTTATCAGCAATGAACACTTTCATTGAACTTAGAACATCCAAATCTATTTAGAAGAGTAAATTATTTTGCCCCCTAGTAAGTCTCTAGTGCAAAAAAAAAAAATTACAGGTGAGGATAGAGCCATTGCCCTTTACCACAATTAAGCAGGATATAGACATATTTAAGGATGTATCTAATATTATGATAATCAACTCAATAAAACAGGGGTGATTTTGTGAGCATCTATTATGTTTATATAACTTGTTACATAAATTTGTACCAATCCACAAATAAGGCTGGTTACCTACCCTTTAAAGGTGAAGAAACAAAGATTCGGAGTCTAAGGAATTTGACACTTTTAGTTATTTGTGCTAAGGAGGAAAGGAACAACAAAATACTGAAGAAAATAATAGCGATAGCCATTTTGTTGAGTTCATACTACATCTCAGACTTCATAGGTTTCAAAGTCGCAAGTTAGCTACTAACTTAAAGCTTTCCTCCTCCATATTTTAAAACATTTCAGTGAGGGGCACCTGGGTGGCTCAGTCGGGTGGGAGGCCGACTTTGGCTCAGGTCATGATCTCACAGTTCGTGAGTTCGAGCCCCGTGTTGGGCTCTGTGCTGACAGCCAGCTCAGAGCCTGGAGCCTGTTTCAGATTCTGTATCTCCCTCTCTCTCTGACTATCCCCTGCTCACTCTGTCTCTCTCTGTCAGAAATAAATAAAAAACATTAAAAATTTTTTAAATAAATAAAACATTTCGAGGAGTAATAAATTTTGCCAATTCAAATGTTACCACTTTTTATGAGGACATTATGCTAAGTGTATTTAACCAGTCACCAAAGAATGAATACTTTACTATTCTACTTATGTGAGGGACCCAGAGTAGTCAAATTCTTAGGGACAGAAAGTAGTATGGTGCTTGCTCAGGGCTGAAAGAAGGAAGAAATAGGGAGTTAGTATTGAGTGGGGACAGAGCTTCAGTTTGGGAAGATGACAAAGTTCTGGAAGATGACAAAGTGGTGGTGAGTGCAGAACACTGTCAATGTACCAAACGTCGCTGGCGTACACACTTTCTAAGTGGTTAAAATGGTAAATTTCCTGCTATCTCTATTTTACCACAATTAAAAACATGTTTCTAGCTCCATATTTTTCCAACCCTAAATGGAGTGCTAAGAAACTTCAAATGCTGTAGGACCTTAAACAACAAGAAGAGACTTCTGGTTAGAATCAGATGGATTAGACTCGTCTCTTCCCTTTCCTTCATTCTAAGTATAATTATAAATTCTGGAAATAATGTAAGAGGCAGCTAAGGGAGAATTCTGAAAGTATACTGAGGAAGGAGAAGTGATTGTAGACCCCAGGACTGGAGCAACATAGGACAAGGCAACTTAATCCCAATACTCCAACCATCCAACAGAAAACCCAAACCCAGCATCTGTAAACCCATCCTATCAGCAGATAGTGGTGAAAGTAGGCTCATTGACTAACCTTCCAAAAAGAGATCCCCCCAACACCACCAAGTGGGTCCAGTAGCACTGGAGAGGATTATAAACCAGAAACCAGGTGGGAATAACCCTCCAGGGGATGTGTTCTCCTTCTTTGCACCTTGAGATAGCCCTCTCCGACCAAACACAACAGGGAGTTGAGTCGCACTAGCAGGTGGATCCTGCTGCTATTAGTGACTAGGCTAGGAAGCCTCTTAACATCCTGAGCCAAGAAACTCTCTTCCCCACCCAGAGCACTAGGTGGCCAAGCCTGGGAAAGCTCCTCTGTCCTCTGAGGGGTTACTGCCAGGGTCCAGTGGGAGCCCCAGATGCACAAGCTGAATAGTGCAGACCAAACCAACACAGCATTTTTCAAGTGCTGAAAGCCAAATACATGTTATCAACCACAAATTTCTATATCCAATGACTATACTTCAGGAATGAAAGAAAATACATTCTCAAATGAAGGAAAGCTAAAAGAATCTGTCACTAGAAGATGTATTCTTATAAAAACAACTAAAGGAAGTTCTTCAAACATGAAATGATAGAAGGAAGGATAAAAGAAAGAATCTTGAAGTATCTGGAAAGAAAAAAAGGAAAATGGAGAGATCCTCAGATGTGAGTATGACTCTCCATTCCGTTATGAGTGTTATAAATCATATTTAATAATTAGGACAATACTTATAATACCATGTGTTACTCAAGACATTTATATTTAGAAATGGTAAAGTTAAGGGGACTTAAAAGGAAATAAGATGTCTGCATTTGACTCAAACAGGTAAAATACTAATGCCAGGAAACTGTGATAAGGCACATATTTACATTGTTACATGTAGAGCAACTACTATGAAAAGTACAAAGAGAGATATGTTCAATATTGTGTCTATGTAATATAAATAAATTTATAAATCAATCATTTATTGATTTATTTATTTATATTAAATAAATACAATATATATAAATAAATCAAGATGGAATCCCAAAAAGTGTTCAAGTAATACACAGGAAGGAAGTAGAAAGGAATGGAGAAATAAGAAATAAGAGATAATGTGAAAAAAATCTTAAAGTGGTGGACCTAAAGCCCTACCATATCAGTAATCACCTTAAATATAAGTGGTCTAGCTATATCAATAACAAGGCAGATATTGAAAAACTAAATATAAAAACATGAACAATTATATGCTATTTACAAAACAAGTACTTCAAATTCAATGACATAGACTAAAAGTAAAATGAAAAATAAAAAAATATATATCATGCAGACATTAATTTTTAAAAAACAAAACTGGCTATCTTAATATATAAAATAGATAATTAATATCAGATAAAATAGAGTTCACAGCAAAAACAATTACCAGAGAGAAACATTATATAATAATTAAATGGTCAATCTACTTTTAAAACATAACACTCTTAAATACATGTGTACCAAACAGCAAAGATTTAAAACATATGAGGTGAAAACTGATAGCGCTGAAAAAGAAATAGAAAAATTCCCAATTACAGTTAAGGACTTCAACACTCCCCTCTCATCAGATAATAGCACTGCTAGACATAAACTCAACAAGGTTATAGAAAATCGGAACATAATCAACACACAATATCAACTGAAACATGTACACTCTACCCAACACCATTTTTTTCAGGTGCCTACGGATCATTCACAAATATGTCCTGGGCCATAAAGAAACTTCATCAAACTGAAAAGAGTTGAAATCATATAGAATAATTTCTCTAACCATAATGAAATCAGACCAGTGATCAATAATAGAAAGACAAAAAGAAATCTTTAAGACCTTGGAAATTAAGCATACTTCTAAATTATCTGTGAGTCAAAGAAGAGATCTCAGAGGCAATAAAAAAAAGAGCTAGCTAAATTTGAAGATCAACATTTGTGAGATTCAGCTAAGATAATACTGAGAGGGAAATCTATAGCGCTAAATGCTTATGTCAGAAAAAGGAAAAATCAATAATCTAAGATCTTATCTCAAAAACCTAGGAAAAAAAAGAGTAAAATAAAACCAAAACAAGTTGATGGAATAAAATAATAGTGATTAGAATACAAGGCAGTGAAATTGAATTGAATTTCCAAAAAAATCAATAAAATTAATAAATCTCTAGCAAACCTGGCAAAGACAGAGAGGAGATACAACTCACCAATATCAGAAATTATGTGGAATATTATTACAGATACTGCAGTCATGAAAAAGGAGAAGAAAGCAATAGTTTGAATAACTAGTATTCATACATTCAACAACTTCGAAGAAACAGATCAACTTCTCAAATACTAAAAATAACCAAAATTCATCCGAGATGAAAGAGATCATCTGAATAGTCCTATAACCATTAAATAAACTGAATTCACAATTTTGAAACTCTAGACCCAGATAGTTTCCCTTCACAATCCTACAAAAATATACAGGAGAATTAACACAAATTTTATTTAATCTCTTCCAGAAAATAGAGGACTGAACACTTTTAATCATGTGATGAGGCCGTTTTATCCTTGACACCAAAACAAGACAAAATGCATAAAAACAAAAGTACAGACCAATATCTTTCAGGAACTTAAAAAGCCCTCAACAAAATATTAACAGATTGAATCCAACAGTGTGTGAAAAGAATTACATAGCCTTACTATATAGCTACAGCACTCAAGACTGTGCAATCTTGGGATAAGCACATGAATCAATGGACTAGAAGAATGAAAAAGTTCAAGAAATATGCTCAATGGCTGATTTTTTTAATGTTTATTTTTGAGAAGGGGGGGTGCAGAGAGAGAGGGAAACACAGGATCCAAAGCAGTGCTCCAGACTCTGAGCTGTCAGCACAGAGCCTGACACAGGGCTCTAACCCACAGACTGCAAGATCATGACCTGAACCAAAGTTGGACACCAAACCAACTGAGCCACGCAGTTACCCCTCAACAGCTGATTTTTAAAAAAAAAAAAATTTTTTTTATGTTTATTTATTTTTGAGAGAGAGAGAGAGACAGAGAACGAGCTGGGGAGTAACAGAGAGTGGGAGACACAGAATCAGAAGCAGGCTCCAGGTTCTGAGCTGTCAGCACAGAGCCTGACGCGGGGTTCAAATTCACAAATCATGAGATCATGACCTGAGCCTAAGTTGGTCGCTTAACCGACTGAGCCACTCAGGTGCCCCAATAGCTGATTTTTAAGAAAGGTCCAAAAGCAAGTCATTGGAGGAAAGATACTCCTTTTGACAAATGGTGTTGAAGAAATGAAGCATCTATTCCAAAAATTAATAATAAAATAATAATAATAAAATAAAAATTGACCAAAGCCTCATTCCATATATTAAAAATAAATTGAAATGGATTATCTTTTAGAAAAAAAAATTGGAGAAAATACTTAGGGTCCTAGGCTGGACATGGAAGTCTTAGACTTGACACTAAAGCCTGAAACATAAAAGGAGATTGATAAATTGAGCTTCATTAAGATTCAAGGCCTCTACTTAATGGAAGACCCCATGGAGGGGATGAAAAGGCAAACTGCAGACAGAGAGAATATGTTTGTAAACTGCATATTCAAGAACTATCAGTTTTATCCAGCATGACATGTTATGGGGGGGAAAATGACAAATTTGTGGTCTCCCCAACAGCTAGCTCTCTACATTTGGTTACAACTTTATTTCATGGTAATTATTCACACACATGATGCTTAATTTCTGCAAGTCTGAAAAGGTGGAAAAAGATGTCTTATTATAAGTCTGTGTGAAGGTAAAGGAAATACTATTAATTATAGTTTAAAAAATGCTATAGTGTTTTTAAAAAATGATGATACTTTTTAAATACTTGGCCTTAGGAAGTTTTATGTGCATTTATGCATGCATGTGTGTGTGTGTGTTTGCGTGTGTCTGTGTGTGTAATTGATATCATCTTAATGCTAGAGAAGACGTGCTTGCTGATAAAAATGATATACCAGCCTCACCATAAAGAAACTAACTAAAGAGAATTGGTTTGAAAAATCAATGTAGGTAAAGTGGGCAAAAAAATTTGTGGTTTGGGATTCTGTATTGTTTTTCACTAAATTATGCTTTCACAACCTGTCTCTTCACCGTACTTCAGGAGGCATCAGTGCCTTTAAAACTAGCCCCTGTGCCCTTCTCTGTGTTTATGTCTATCCATGTCAAAACAATTGCAGAATTTTCACTTCAACTTCAAACCTATATACTTCTAAATGCTCAATGTCCTATGGAAATAGTTAAGGTCCAGTGTTCTTTTAACAAGTTATGGCAAATAGCCTTAACCCAAAAAGAAGAAGAAGAAGAAGAAGAAGAAGAAGAAGAAGAAGAAGAAGGAGAAGGAGAAGGAGAAGGAGAAGGAGAAGGAGAAGGAGAAGGAGAAGGAGAAGGAGAAGGAGAAGGAGAAGAAGGAGAAGGAGAAGGAGAAGGAGGAGAAGAAGAAAAAGAAAGAAAGAAAGAAAGAAAGAAAGAAAGAAAGAAAGAAAGAAAGAAAGAAAGAAAGAAAGAAAGAAAGAAAGAAATAGGTTTTGTAAATAAAAGTGGGTCAAACTCTCTGGCTTCTAGTAATGCAAAATATTCAAAGACCATGTGTAAGTAATGGTGCTCCAAAGCACCGAGTCCTTCTAGCATTCATTGCCAAGGTGTCAGCATTCAAGAACAGACTGATTTCTCTAAGAAGCAAGTAGACTTCCAAGAGACTGGCTAAAGAAAATATTGTTTCACTCAAATCCTATTTTCTAATTTATATTTCCTGTTTCTTATTCCATACGGATCATCTAATTAGACTCAGTGGAACATTCTGGATAAAATTATTGCCCCTTTCTGGCATTTTCTATTCTAATTTATTTCCACTTTGAACAGAGTCAACTGTAAGTTCATAAGAAGTTAGACACTGGAACGGGGTGGACTAAATGAGTCAGACCATTAAAGAGTTCAAAGCCAGACTCGTGTTTAGAAAGAGTTAATGAACTCATTTATTCCTGGGATGACTCACAGTAGCATTTACTTTTCATTTTCATATGTGGTTTTACCGGTTTGAAAAGCCCAGGATGGGACCAAAGGAAAAGCGCCCTGCTAAGGACTTGTAGCAAGAGCCTCTGGTATGTCTTCTTTTCAGTGCTCCAGGGAGCACTGAATGTTTTCAGACTCAGGGAATCAGAGTAGGGTGGTGGGTTCCAGGGTCTGGGGAGGGAAGGGAGAATGGGTGGCTGCTCTTCAATGGGCATAAAGTTTCAATCATGCAAGATTAGTACATTCTAGAGGTTTGCCGTACAACGGCAGCCACATGATTAACAATATACTTTAAGTGTATTGTACACTTAAACATTTAAGAGGGTAGATCTCATGTTATATTGTGACCACAAAAAAATTAATACTAAAAAAATGAAAGAGGTTGTAGTTAAAATCAGTCCTATAAACTGGAGCAACTGTAAAGTCATGGAGAGGTCACTGCTTTGTCATGTCTGAGGAGCACACTCTTCTCATCCGTGGTTACTTTGATCACAATTCATTTAGTACATGGTATCCCCACAGGTCCTTATTTCCAACTTGTCCAGACTGTATATTTAGGGTTGAATTGTTGAATGGCGGGGCCAAACACAAGTCTGTTTTCTACCAGGTCTACAGCGACCCTTCCTTCCTAAACCAATGCTCCCAGAGCTTTCTAGAAAGGTTCAAAATTTCCCAAACTGCTAGGTCAATTGTGGTATCTCATAGTCAGTCCAGAACTATGATAGTATTTTTCATCAACATGCACTCCTGCAATATCATTTTTCAAGGGTTTTTGTCTAATACTGGGCACTGAGTATCCAGAGATTAAGTAAGAGAGATTTCGTCAAGGAAAAATCAGATTATTTTCATGGCTAGGACATTTGTTTGAGCAGTTGCTGAATATATAAGGCATGCTTGCATTTGTCAACCTATTTCCTGTAATAGACTGAAACACACACACACACACACACACACACACACACATAACAGGGTGTATACGGAGAGGAAGAGTCAGTACTTACTACCTCTGCATTAAAGACCACATTCAGGAAAGTATGTATCCTTTCAATTATTTCAAAAAAGTACAAAAAGTAGTTCCAAAATGGACTTTATTAGTGACTCCTAAAGTATCAATAACTTGAAGAGTTTTGAAATGGCCAGTGTCAACTGAGTGGGAGGAATGAGAGGCCAGTTTGAATGACGACACACGTGAATTGCCTTTTTTTTATGTTTCCTCACCCAGCTCTTTAATAGCACAGGTACAGAGGAAAAACGGAGCGTGATGAATATATGAGAGCAAATAAAACGTTTAGGGTGTAAAATGTCCCGAAAACACAAGTTGTAATCTGCGGTTGTCAATCTAATACACACCCACTCTGTAATTAGAAACATATTGGAACAGGGCAGCAAGCACATAGCCGTACTTTTCCCTCAAACCTTTATTTCGATCATTCACACGTGACACACTCATTTTTATTGCCATTCGCACTCCAGACAAGAATTTTCAAGGGGCAGCCTAAACCCCCCCGAATTTCTTGAACCCTTCCCAATCATGTTTCAGTCTTCGCTCATGAAAGGAAGCAACACGGGCAGGATTCTCACCCGCTGGAAACGTTTTAAGCCCATCTCCTCTCCCGGCTCCCCAGATCCTTCTGACACACCCTCCTCCCTCCCTCCTCGGCGTTAAACTGCGTCTCCACTTCCTGTACATCAGTGGGAACACTTCCCTTATGGGTGTCGGGATCTCTCAGCGGGGTCAGGGGCTGCCCTGCGGAGGAAATGACAAGCTGTGAAATGTAAAAGAACAATTCCTTCCACATGTTTCTTTGCTCCGGGAGCAGCGAGGGGTTGTCAGCTAGCATCGCTTTGGAACCAGGCAAGACTCTGCGTCGTAGTTCTGTCAGAACTAATTTACAATTAAAGACCTGCATGACTGTTTAAAGCTTTTTCGATTCCGGCAGTTTTCTGAAATGACTTTGAGACTGAAGTGGATCAGACCAGAAACCACGGTTGTAATTAACTGCAGTGGATGGTGAAAGAGTTCATGAAATAAGACAAAGCTTAAAACAAATTATATATAGATGTATAGATATATATTTTATCGTATAATTATTATATATTTGTATATATTATAATTATAAAATTATTGTTTTGTTATGTAATTATAGAATAATATATATGTAATATAGCATATATTATTTAATATATATACGAGAGTGAGAGAGAAAGGGACAAAGTGAGAGAGAGAGGGAGAGAGAAATCCTTACTGTACCTCCAATTAACATATCTGTGGAAATTTCCTAGAGGAGCCCAAGTTAGTGAGTTTAGGGTTGCAGCTCTTGTAAATTTTATTTAGTTTGTAAATAAAGTTACAAAATGACAATTTCATAGATCTGAATGAAGGAAGCACAGAAGGAAGGAAGGAAGGAAGGAAGGAAGGAAGGAAGGAAGGAAGGAAGGAAGGAAGGAAGGAAGGAAGGGAGGAAGGAAGGGAGGAAGGGAGGGAGGGAGGAAGAAAGGAAAGCAGAGAGGAAGGAAAAAAAGATTGATTGACCTTGACCATTTGACACTTCAACATTTTAAAAATTATTTTAAAATTCTTTAAAAGAGTTTTATGATTTAAAATATTATGGGGCGCCTGGGTGGCTTAGTCGGTTAAGCTTCCGACTTTCGCTTAGGTCATGATCTCGCGGTTCGTGGGTTCGAGCCCCGCGTCGGGCTCTGTGCTGACTGCCAGCTCAGAGCCTGGAGCCTGCTTCAGTCTGTGACTCCCTCTCTCTCTGACCCTCCCCTGCTCACGCTCTCTCTCTCTCTCTCTCTCCTAGAAATAAATAAAACATTTAAAAAATAAATAAATTAAATAAAATATTTTGATGCAATTCCCTGATACATTAAGTAAACACATCTTCAAATTGCAGGTAATTAGTTTTTTATGCAGATTAATCACTTTGAAACATACTGTGGTTCCCTGAGGTTCCATTTTGCATTCAGGTAACCAACTCATATTCACTTATGCCATCTGAAAATCCAGAACAGATGCCATATCTAAAAAGTACCTCAACATCTCCCCAAGCGGTGATTCTGAAGTGACCACTCCATGTTCTTGAAATCTAGGATGTATTTTACAGATGTGCTCATTCCTCAGTAGCTAGCAGAATGAGCAGAGATACACCTAACGAGGACAGTCTCTCCGTACAGCCAACTCCACTGTCAAAAGCAAAAATGTCATCTATGCCATTTTCAAATATCAGATTCATACCTCTCCGATAGAAACAAGTGAACAATGGACTTTCAAATTACTAACTAAAGGTCTAGTGCCACTATGGTCTGGGATAATTAACAGTGCCTGAAAACTTGTTCTCCTTACCCTACACAAGAGAGGATGGTGGCCTAAGGACTTCGGGAAACATGGAGAATTGTCTAAGACTGTCCACGCATACTTGAGCTCTGACATCCACATGGAAGTTCTCTTATATAATAATAGCTCCCTATTCTAAGTTCCAGTACTATGGGCCCTCAGCTACTCTCCATCTATGCCTCTGTTCCCACTGCCACTAGTTAATTTTCCCTCCATTATGCTTCTACTTCATGGCTTAGATTGAACATAACAGTAGAGACTGGGCAGAGCCCTCTCACCAGGCCACCCAATACATTACGAAAATAGAAGGACATACACATGCCCAACTGATTTTTCACAAAGGACTAAAGGCAACTCAGTGGTGAAAAAAATTGTCTTTTCAACAAATAATGTTGGAATAACTAGACATTCACATGTCTAAAAATTAAAAAAAAGGGGGGGGGGTTCCTGGGTGGCTCAGTCGGCTAGGCATCTGCCTTTGACTCAGGTCATGATCTCATGGTTCATGAGTTTCAGCACCACATCAGGCTTTGTGCTGTCCACATAGAGGCCACTTCAGATCCTCTGTTTCCCTCTTTCTTTTCCCCTCCCCCACTCATCTGCATGCATACTCTCTCTCTTTCTCTCTTTCCTTCTTTCTTTTAAAAATAAACAAATAAATAAAAAGAAGGAAGGAAGGAAGGAAGGAAGGAAGGAAGGAAGGAAGGAAGGAAGGAAGGAAGGAAGGAAGAAAGAGAGGGAGGAGAAAGGGAGGGTGGGAGGGAGGGAGGGAAGAAGGAAGGAAAGAAAGAAAGAGAGGCAAACTACAGACATGGAAAAGCCATTTGCAAACCATGTATCCATCAAAGGATTTATACCCAGAATGTATAAAGAACTCTCAAAATTCAACAACAAAAAAAATCAACACCCAATTCAAAATAGGCAAAAGACTTGAACAGACACTTTACAGATATTAATATGGAAGACCAATAAGCACATATGAAGATGGTTAATAAAATTAGCCACTAAAAAATAAAAATTGAACTTTCAAATTTAATCTGAATGTAAATTAGAATGGCTTTAAAAAAAAAAAAAACCCGACAATACTAAGTGGAGTCAAGGGTACAGAGCAACTGAAAGTCTCATGTGCTCCTCGTGTAAATGCAAAATTGTACAGCCACTCTGTAAAAGACGCAGTTTCTTATAAAGTTAAGAATACACATAGCCTCCAACTCAGAAATTCTACTCTTAGGTATATCTCTTAGAGAAATAAATACTATGCCTACACAAAAATTTGTATGTGAATATTTATAGCAAATCTATTTACAATGACCAAAAATGGAAACAATCCCTGTGTCCTTTAATAAGTGAACAGATACACGATGCTACATCCGTTCTTGGGCACGTTATCCTGCCAGGAATAGGAATTAACTATTGATACATACAATTCAGATGAATCTCAAAGGCACTATGTTAGCTAAAAGAAGGCAGCGTCAACCAAAAAATTACTGTACCCTACAACAGCTTTTGAAAGTACAAAACATTAGTGATGATAAAGAATGGGGGTACCAAAGCTTACTGGTGGAGGTGGGAGCAATGGAGTAAGGGGTGGGGAGCCTGCAGCAGATAACAGAAAGCAAAAGGAAGGGGTTTGGGTAATAGAATCGTTCTTTATCCCGATTGCAGTGCTAATCACACAAATCTAGATATGTGCTAAATTGTATTAGCATTCCCAAAACTCAATTTTACCGTATGTTGATTTTAAAAATAAAATAAGTAGTTTGCTTGACTTATTTCCATAGAAAGGAACTGTAAGCACAGATAACACTCAGAGCCATATTCTCGTATTCATTCAACAAATATTTACAGAGAAGCTGTGACATGCCAAATATTGCTACAGGCAACGGGGTACATAGATGAGCAAAACAAAGATCCCTGCCCTCACAGAGTTGGAAGTCCAGCTACACCTCTTTACAATGACTTTTTCGGGGCACCTGGGTGGCTCAGTCGGTTCAGCATCTGACTTCGGCTCAGGTCATGATCTCACGGTTTGTGGGTTTGAGCCCCGCAGCGGGCTCTGTGCTGACAGCCAGCTCAGAGCTTGGAGACTGCTTCAGATTCTGTATCTCCCTCTCTCTCTGACCCTCCCCTGCTCATGCTACCTTTCTCTCTCTCTTAGAAATAAATAAAACATTAAAAAAATTTTACAATGACTTTTTCAAGATGTAGCCAAGTACATAGGGGCATGAAGGTGAAATGGAGCTCATGCTTTCAGAAGGAGCTCAAGGCTTCATCTCTAGAGATGAGGGAGGCCTTATATCTAAGAGTATGTCTGTTTCAGGGCACCTGTGTGGCTCAGCGGGGTAAGTGTCCAACTCTTGGTTCATGCTCAGGTCGTGGTCTCACGATTCTTGGGTTTGAGCCCTGCATCGGGCTCTGTGCTGACAGTGCAGAGCCTGCTTGGGATTCTCTCCCTCTCTCTAGCTCACTGCCCCTCACTCACTCACACGGTCTCTCTCTCTCTCTCTCTCTCTCTCTCTCTCTCCCACTCTCTCTCTATCTCAAAATAAATACATAAACCTAAGGGGGAAAAAAGAGTATGCCTGTTTCAAATTCCCTTCTCAGAACGTTATCTCCCCAGCAAGGCTGCAATGCCTACCATGGTTAGGCCACCTTCCGCTCTTGTTCTCATCTTCAGGAACCAAAACTAGAGAGGACTCTAGAATTTCTGCTTTATCACAGAGAGCAGTCTCAGGTAACACAATAGAATCGAACCAAATTAGAAGATTAATGAATTATGGGGGTTTTTACTATATTATTTGATTCTCCACACAAACTTAAAAATCAAAATTTCGCCCATTACTATTCTTATTTTATATACATAAGGAAACAATCTCACAAAAGCTTCACAAATACAGAGTAGTAAACTTGTGATTCACACAGGTTTTCAGACTTTGGGTCCATATGACTTTCGCTTGTACCACAGTGTCATGGCCAAGTGAAAGTCATTCCTTCGTACTTACTTCTTGGCTTTGGTAATCCAGAATCACCTGAGAAGTTCATTAATTCACTCGTTTGTTTAACAATCTTGTTTGAGCCATTGTTGGCTGCCAAGTACACCAATGGAAGACATAGACCTAGTGCCTATCCTCAAAAGGCTTGTAATCTAGGTAAGGAGACATACAGATAAATGCATATGGCCATGGAAAGAAAGAACCCTAGAGTAATTTGGGGGGGGGCACTGCATAGCACCCCTTTGGGAAGGAAGTTTTAAACTAGATTATGAAAGATGAATAAGTGGCAGTTAAAGACTCTTCCAGATAGAGGAAACAGCAGGAAAGAATACCCTCAGGTGGGAATCACCTTGCTTCGTTTGTAGAAATTGAAGAAAATCAGACCAACCAACAACCGCACATCAGTGCTTCTCAACTCTGGCCACACATTAGGATCACCAGAAGGAGTTTTTTAAGGATAATGATGTCCAGGTCCTGCCCCCTGAGAATTTGATACATCTGTTCTGGGGCTGAGCCCAGACAGGAGTATTTGCTTAAAACCCCACGGAAGATTTA